GAAAAAGAACAGTAAACCTTTAACTATTAATTAGTTAAATGCTAATTAATAGCTGTAGCTAAAGAGTTGGCAAAAGAAGTCATTCTCTACAACATGACCCCTATATACCAGCCAGAGTGCCAGCATTCAATACTAGAATAGTTACCATATGAAGATAACCAGCTGTTTCTGTGTCTGCTCCATTCTGGCCCCATTCCCTCCAGGTCCAAGCAGCTATGATTGGCCATAGTGCTTCACCACCACAATGGGAATGGTACAGATGGAAGGCAGCAAAATATTAGCCATCCTTCCTTCCCTTGGAATGTCACGCTTGCTCTCCTAGTCCAAACCTTTCACATCTTCCCCAACTGAAGTGACTCCACTCTCCCTGTTTCTGAAATGTAGGCATTTCATCTCCTCCTGGGAAACCTCTGGGGCTCCATTTCTTTTCTTTCCTAGAAGTTGCAGGGCTAGTGGCCAAAAAGCTTATAACAAGCATCTGTAGGCCAAAAGATTTTAGAGGACTTGAATCCTAATAGTTTAATTTCTAGTCTCTAATTACGTACATCATTAGCAAAATGAAATACTGTTTCAGACAGTTTTAAAGAGAGAGAAGAATCTTCCTGAATTCCTAGACTGATGCTAATCACAGTGGGTCTGATTTTTTCCACCTCTGGCACTGGGCTGAAGACAGTTTTAGAAAATGAGATTCTTCCCAAGAGAGACTAGCTTGGGAAATTCAAAAGCTGCTGGAAGAGGAAGTTTTTAATCACTTTTTAAATGATACATGTAATTAGAAACTATGTTTTCTTTTAAATGATAATTTCATGGGGTTTGTGGAAATGAGATTTGAGCCCAGATTCTGATTCTGCCAACAACCACAACAAAAATTTCACCTAAAAAAATGACTTAGTTGGTTTCAACCATCATTTCAATTTCTTTAATAGGTCATCATCATCACTTGAAATCATTCATTATTAGATAGCTGTTGAAGAACCTTGTCCTTAGCAATGCAGGAAATTAAAAAGAACTATTCTTGCCCTGGTGATATTTATATTAATAATTTATTAGAGTTGACAACATAGCAGTTTCAATAAATGCCAACAATTAAAGATTAAAATGTCCATCAATGGCATAAAAATAGAGCAACAGAAGAGGAAAGACAATAAAGGAGATGATCTATAATGTCTAGATGCTGGAGTTGAGATTGGGCTTGTTTTGGGGCACAGAAGAAAAAAGAGATATCTAAATTTGTTCATTAATTTATTTAGTATTTCTAAGTTAGGCTTTGAGGATTAAATGATGAACAAGATTAACACAGTTCTGAATAGAAACTGAGGGACAGACAGTAAACAAATGATTACATAAGTAGTGACATACTGGAATCTTTCTTCAGCGGGTTGAATGTCAAACATGTTCAATATAGGTTGTGAAGACGGGGTGGAAGAAGACAAAGACCTTACCTTGTAGAGACAGCCTTAGATACCTTTGTCCTAGGAGTTTCAGATGAAAGTGCTACCTGGGTTTTTAGTTCTTTATTCTAAAATTGAAAAAAATGCAGACATCAAGTAACTAACACATTTATTAGCTACACCCTGAATGCTTCTATTCAACCCAACACCTGCCTCACTCCTTGGCAGTAAGTTTGTTATTGCAGTTATACTATAGAACAAAGAAAACAGACAGCTGAAAGTCACTAAATATTATCTCTGAAGATGCAGATACTCCCTGGAAATGTATAATTTACAAAGTGACTAAAATATAGTATTCTGATTTAGCATCTGAAATTCAACAGCTGAAGGATCTATATTTTATTTTACAGAGTTTTAAAAATACAGACAAATGAAAAGAACTTTTAGGGAACCTTGTTAAAGATACCCATAATATCGATCACATGTTCGTCTTCCTTTTGCAATCTCTTGATTATAAACCCCATGAAAATAGGTCCCATCTGCTCTTTACTATTAATGTAAGTTCATGGCCTCTATAGCCTCAATTTTCTTATGAAGCCTTAGTTTCTTCATATCTATACTATCAGTAAATGATACACGTACTGCCTACTTTGTGTAAATTGTTGGAAGAAACAAGTGTCATATGAACATAATATTTTACATCTGGAATCACTCTCATAATTCTGGGAGTTCATGCAACAGCTAAGAACAGGAGCAATGGCGTTAGAGCACAAGTTCTCACATACAAATCCTAGCACGGTCACTCACTGGTTACGTGACCTCATTTAGGTTACTTAACCTCTCTGTGCCTAATTTCCTCAACTGTATTACAATATAATAATAATAACACCTTCTTCACAGATTTGAAATGAGATAAAAAATATGTCAAGTGCTCAACTAGTGCCTGGCACAGATTTTAAGACGTAAAGGCAGTTGGTTATGATTTTCTAGTCCAAGTGCCCTTTTTTATTTGTTTTTAGACACTGTCTGGCTCCGTCACCCAGGCTGGATACAGTGGCACTATCTCAGCTCACTTCAACCTCCACTTCCTGAGCTCCAACCTGCCTCCCACTCAGTCTCCCAAATAGTTGGGACCACAGGTAAGCACCACTATGCCTGGCTAATTTTTGTATTTTTGGTAGAGACAGGTTTCACCATGTTGTTCACACTGGTCTTAAACTCTTGGACTTGAGTGATCCACCTGTCTCAGCCTCCCAAAGTGCTGGGATTGTAGGTGTGAGCCACCGTGCTCAGCCTCAAGTACTATTTTTATAACTACAAATTGAATTCCAAAGACTTCCAGTGCCCCACATCCTATTCATGCAGAGCTCAATGCCAAGCTGTGTCCTCCCGTCCAGAGCCAGTGTTTTCTCTACAACATAGTCAAGCGAGCAATTTCACTTCCCAGATCTGGAAAGTGAGACTTAAAACAGTGAAGGATCATGAGCAATGCGGAGTTGCCAGTGGGTTGCACTGTCGGGTCAGGGGTCTTTAAAGGACACACCCATATAAAAGTGTCTGGGACCAAAAGGTAGCTGGGTGGAACGATGACAGGTGATGAACAGCAGCACACCAGCTCCCTTCCCTTTCTAGGAACACAGACGTAGTCATGTAATTACACTTTAAAAGGTATTTTTCTTTTTCTTTTTCTTTTTCTTTTTCTTTTCTTTTCTTTTCTTTTTCTTTCTTTTTTTTTTTGAAACAGGGTCTCACTCTGTCACCCAGGCTGGAGTGCAGTGGTGCAATCTCAGTGTTACAGGATGTAATTTTTTCTGGCCGGAAACCTTTGAGGCCAGCGGCGCCTTTGCCAAAGTTTTACTTGGGTCCGTTGGGATCATTTTGTCCACTCAGTTTGGCAGGCTGCATGCCACTGGCCTAGGTCTCAGGCCTATCAAGGGCGAGTCAGGTGTGAAATCGCGAGGGGTGTTTGAGCAAGCGTGGGGTCCAGCCACTGTGCACAGTCAAACATGCCGGCTGCTGCAGTGGGGCACACAGTGCCAGGCACTGGCATGGGTGCTGGCTCTGCGAGGCTGCAGCCAGACCAGGTGCACCACAAGCAGCTTCCACAGCCGGCACTGGGGTACACGGTGGCATCTAGAAGCTTGGAGATGCCAGGAACCGCAAGGCCCCAAAGAGAGTCACAACCCTGGCTCAGGGAGCTCCCAGGTCTGGGCTGCCCAAAGGGCCACAGCTCTTTTTTCCTTCTCTTTGCCAGCAACATGGCGAGCAAGGGGCATGTCTCAGCCCTGTTTGTGTTATAGCTCTTTTAGCCCAGGCATCCAGTGGGTCCTGAGTTCTTGTCCAGCAACCAGGAAGAATGAGGTACACAGACAAGTGGAGGGTGACCAAGACAAAGAGGAGGTTTATTGAGCAGCTCAGAGGAAACCTGCAGGTGGCAGCTCCTTTCCACAGCCAGGGTGTCCTGACAAGTGTCCAGCTCCCAGCAGAGAAGGTAGCTCCTCTCTGCTAGGCAAGTAATCCCAAGTGTTCAGCTAACAACAGAGAGGGTAGCTCCTCTCTACAGCTGACTGCCCCATCGTCTGTGCGGCTCTCATCAGAGGGGAAGCCCTAGTGTGAGTGGCTCCTCTCTGCAGGCAGGTTGTCCCAATATCTGCTTGAGTCTCAGCAGAGAGGAGGCCCAGGAGTGTAGCTCCTCTCTGCAGCTGGTCATCCCAATGTCTGCCCAGCTCTGGCTAAGCCTGGGGCTTGTATGGCCTCCGAGGGGAAGGAAGTATGTGCTGATTCCTCCATGGGCATCCATGAGTGGGCCCAGAAAAGGCAACACAAGTTCTTACTCCAGTCCATAGGACTGGCAGCCTGGCCCCCAGCCTTTAGACCCTCCCTGTCCTGAAGGTGGGGACTCACTGGGACCTGCCCCCTTCTGCCCAGGAGCCTGTCTGCCTTCTGCTGTGGTTCATAGCACCTAGGCTGTTTGTGCCAAGGGGCACCTTCAGGCCAGCAGCAAACTGCCCCCAGCACCCCTTTGGCTTCCTTCCCATGCTTATTGGTGCCCAAAGTCCAGAGGGGGTTGAGGCAGAAGGGGGTTGGCATGTCAGTGCTGACCCAAACATGCACATACCCGGCTGAGCTGTGACAGTGCCCAGGCTTGGCCCCAACTTTGCTCCAAGACTGGGGAGGGTGCCAACAGCAGGGAGAAGCCAGGCAGTGGGAGCAGGCACTTCAAAGCCTGCAAGGGCAAAGGGGGCCTTCCAGGGCTGCCAGGAGTGCAGGGACTCCTGAGTCTGCAGCCACAGTTCAAGCAGCTGCAGCTGTGCCCAGCAGGCATGGGGCTCTTGTGGGCTCCAAAGAGAATGCAGCCCTTGCCACGCCTCCCTGCTGCAGCCAGTGAGATGGCAATAACCCCTCCAGATGGCCCATTACAGCCATCAATGGCTCACTGCAACCTCCACCTCCACCTCCTGGGTTCAAGAGATTCTCCTGCCTCAGCCTCCCGAGTAGCTAGGATTACAAGCATGTGCTACCACACCCGGTCAATTTTTGTATTTTTTTTTTTAGTAGAGACAGGGTTTCACCATGTTGGCCAGGCTACTCTTGAACTCCTGGCTTCAAGTGATCCGCCCACCTCAGCCTCCCAAAGTGCTGAGATAACGGGTGAGAGCCACTGCATCTGGCCTACAAGGTATTTTCTGAAATCCCACCTGATGGTTTAGAGTAAGTCAATGGTTTAGAGTCAGCCTTGGACTATGCCCCTTCTTAGCTCCCAGCATTTATCATGAATAATAACTCAAAGATGGAGCCAGTATCTTCACATACAGTCATCATTTCACTGTGAAATTTCAAGAGTGAAGCTAAGTTTCACCTGGGAAATGTACTTCAGATTTGATCAATTGATGGTGAAGATTTCCTCATGTAATGAATATAAATCTATTATACACTCCAAACAAGGGCAGGCACATATTATAGGCCAAGCATGTGCCTAGAAAAATGTCCCTCTTTATAGTACTTTACACTTGACAAAGCAATTTGAAATGCAGTCTCTTGATGACAAGCACCATTGAAATGAAAATATTCTGTGACTGGTCAATTAGGTATAAGCTACTTAGGTTTTCCCCAGAATAAACTCCCAGTTTCTCAACCAATTCAGTACCAAATAATACAAAAGCATAAGAGTTATTATGTTAGACTCTCTTTAATTTATTTTAAATTCCATGCTGATTTGTTTCATCTACCAGATTTAGGCATTTAGTCTTGATTCATAGACTTTTCTGATTTTTCCTTTAACTAGGACAGTATATGCATGAGTTTTATTTAAAAACTACAAATCACTGGCCAGAATATGCCTGCCATTATTATGGTTCCATCTAAGGATAGTTTATTGAAATAGTTTTCAAAAAGAATATAATTTTTTGCATACTTAATATTTTAGCAACACACTCCAGAATTAAATTTTAAGGATGATGGTGCTTATATAGAGTAGGGTAATCTTCAAAGTTTAGAACATGCAGTAATTTCTGAAAATGCATTTCCTAAGGAGCAGGTCCTTAGTGAAGAAACTAGAAATGCAATAACTATAAGATGAGTATCAGAGCTGTAAATTAAGATGATGAAAGATATGCAAAAACAGAAAGAAAGTAAATAATTTTGGTAGAGTTAAGCAGAAATTTTCTGGTGATATTTAAAACTGGTTAAGAAGAATTAAAGATTTTTTAAAAGATAGGGTTATATGAGTCAATTTTATTGCCTATAGGGAGGGGAAAAAACCTGCTAGGATAGAAAGACCACCACAGGAAAAAAGGATGTATTTCCATTACTTGAAAGCTAGAAGTAAAACAGAAAATATTTAATATAGTAACTGTGACAATGACTAAAATCAATGTAAAAGATTACGCAAACTTAACGTTGTAACTATGTGTTTAAAAATATATTGGCTACACATATATATTTCACAAACATGTATACGCGCACACACACACACACACACACACATTTAATCACCCAGTGTATTAGTCTGTACTGACACTGCTAATAAAGATGTACCCAAGATTGGGTAATTTATAAAGGAAAGAGGTTTAATGGACTCACAGTTCCACATGGCTGGGGAAGCCTCATAATCACGGCCAGAAGGGAAAGGAGATGCAAAGACACGTCTTACATGGAGGCAGGCAATAAAGAATGAGAACCAAGCAAAAGGGGTTTCTCCTTAAAACAACCATCAGATCTCATGAGACTTATTCACTACCACGAGAACAGTATGGAGGAAACTATCCCCAGGATTCAGAGATCTCCCACCAGGTCCCTCCCACAACACATGGGAATTATGGGAGCTACAATTCAAGATGAGGTTTGGGTGAAGACACAGCCAAACCATATCACCCAGATACAGAGATAGGCAGATATTGACGGGCAGGCATGTGCTGCAAAGTTAAGCAGACTCAAATGCAGGTTCTGCCACCTGCTCCCTGAGTGATTTTAAACAAATTGCTTCACTTCTCAGACCCTCAGTTTTGTCACTTGCAAAATGTAGTCAATAATAGCTCTCTTGGAGCAGCTTTGAGGATTAAAGAAAACAAAATATGTAGCATGACTAAACAGAGACAAATGATTTTAGCATGAATGAGAAAGCGGTGCTGTCTTTATGGTTTAAAAAGTCGATGTGTTTAAAGGGTTGTTCAAGCTCTGATGATCATTTTTCATAAACTGAATAAGTCCCTTCTGTTATTTCAGGAATTCCAAAATGGGCAGTGACCTTAAATTTGCAGTGCAAGACAGTGTACCCCTGCACATTTTATTCTAGTTTAAAAGCTTTATAACAAGCCATTCACCAGGAATAGGATAGAAATGTATTCACTATGAGGCTGGGTGAAGAGGTTCACACTTGTAATCCCAGCACTTTGGGAGGCCAAGGCAGGAGGATCACTTGAGCCCAGGAGTTTGAAACTAGCCCTGGCAACACAGTAAAACTCTGTCTCTACAATTTTTTTTTCTTTTTAATTAGACAGGCATGGTGGTGTGCGCCTGTATTCTCAGCTACGCAGAAGGCTGAGGTGGGAGGATTGCTTGAGCCTGGGAGGTTGAGGCTGTAGTGAGTCATGATCAGGCCACGGCACTCTAGCCTAGGCAACAGAGTGAGACCCTGTCCCTAAAAAACATATAACAAAATAAAAATAAAATAAAATAAATGGAATCACTATGGCTCAAAGTCACTGTATTTAGGTATTTGGATACCTGGTCCAACATCACGTGCTCAGAGATGCCCTCCCTAATCCCTGTTGCTCTATGACTCCCCACACTCTTCCACTCGTCCTCAGAGAACTTGGCCCTTCCTGAGCAAGCTGTAAACTTGCTTGTTTATGTATTTATTGTCTGTTTCCTCAAAGTATAAGTAAGATGAAGTCAGGGATAATCTGTCATTTTCACGGCCATACACCCAGCACTTAGAACATTTCCTGACACACCATAAACACACAAAAAATCTGTTGAATAAGTAAGTAAATATGGCTTGGACTTTTTAAAGCTCAGATGGGCAAATAACATCCATTGCTGTGAAGGAAAGATTTATCTATTGAAGAAAATAAATATTGAGAACATAAAGTCACTCCTCAGATACTGTTATTATTGGAAGCCTTTTTTTATACAAGTGTTAGAAAACACTGGCTTGAGTCTGGGCACAATGGCTCACACCTATAATCCCAGCACCATGGGAGGCCAAGACAAGTGGATCACCTGAGGTCAGGAGTTCTAGACCAGCCTGGCCAACATGGTGAAACCTTGTCTTCACTAAAAACAAAAATTAGTCAGGCGTGGTGGTGGGCACTTGTAATCCCATCTATTTGGGAGTGTGAGGTAGGAGAATTGCTTGAACCCGGGAGGCGGAGGCTGCAGTGAGCCGAGATTATGAGATCATGCCACTGCACTCCAGCCTGGGTGACAAAGTGAGACTCTGTCTCAAAAAAAAAAAAAAAAAAAGAAAAGAAAAGAAAAAAGAAAACACTGGCTTGGGTTGAGCTACATACAGAGAATCTAAGATAACACTGAGAGGTTCTGTCGCATTACTGTAGAGAGTCTGCCACAAACCAAGAAGTTTCCATGAAAGGAGAGGGACACACATCTATTTCTGTGGCATAATTGCTGAATAGTCAGTAATTATTTGCTAACTTTCGGAATATACAAACAGAGTACAATGGAAACAAATACATCTTCCTTGTCTAACTGTTTAACCAACAGGCCAACTGGATAATGTACAGTATCTGGGTTAAGTTGTCAGTTTATTTAGGAAGATAAAATCCTCATTGGGAACAATATAAATAAACAGGCATAACTAAAGAACACAAAATTGAATTAGAAGCAGTAGTACCACTGACACCTTGACTTTGTGACAAGAATGGGCACTTAATTAGATATGAGCAGAGCCCAGAACCATGTGAAGTGAAAGATCTGAGAATGATGCCAACACTAAAACAACCTCTCCATAAAACATATTACAGATGTACAATAATTAAAGCAGTAAGCTATTGGAGTCAAAATAGGCTGATTCGCTGTTGGAACAGTTTCAATAAGAATTTAGTCCAGAATAAAGAGGCCCTTCAAATTCACTTACTAGCCAGTAAGTTCCAGGGAGCAGGACTCATGTCTATTTTGTTCAACATTGTTTTCCGGAATTTAGTGCCTATATCGTAGTAGCCACTCAATAATTAAGTGTAGAAGTAATTACATAATTAGTGATGTGGAAAAATGAATAAAATGAATGAAAGTTTAAAAACGAAAATTCAATAGGCACAGTGCAGTGCCATATATATTCTATAGTTAGTATGTACACACAGGTATATAACAGGCACATAGATTCCCACTAAACATAGATACACCCAACTATGCTGATTTAGTATCCAGGGATGGTACTTTTATCAGTGATTTTCTTGTTCTAGTTGCTTATCCATTATGTCCCAACTTATATGGAATAAATAATGTTAGTTACATAAAAAATACAAGAAATAGGCCAGGCATGGTGGCTCATGTCTGTAATCCCAGCACCTTGGGAGGCCAAGGTGGGCAGATCGCTTGAGGTCAGGAGTTTGAGACCAGCCTGGCCAACATGGTGTAAACCCATCTCCACTAAAAATACAAAAATTAGCCAGGTGACATGGTGTGCACCTGTAATCCCAGCTACTCGGGAGGCTGAGGTAGGAGAATTGCTTGAACCTAGGAGGCAGAGGTTGCTGTGAGCCAAGATCATGCCACTGCACTCCAGCCTAAGTGACAGAGTGAGACCCTGTTTAAAAAAAAATATATATATAAATAAGAAATATATAATATATTGCTATATGTAATAATATAAGAAAAAATATTTTATCAAGTAACATTTGCCAAAAAGCCACTAAGAAAGGCTGTGAAGAAATGTCTTTAGAGAACATTTCATACAAGGAGGCTCCACTGTGACATGAATCACATAATCTGAAGGTCCGCTGATATAAATTAGCCAGCTATTACTGGACACTTGAGTGAACACTAGTTTTGAGCCAATTATTCCACAATCAAGGCATTTTTAGCTGCACAGAGCTGAGAGCAGTGTGTTAATCAGTCCCATACAGCCTGAAGAGGGCGAGAGTCTAAGGAGAGTGTGAGCTTCAGTGAGGTCTATCCTCAAAACCAAAAGAGAACAGTTGTCTGCTGGGAAGGTAGAAATGGAAAATGAGGCTACAAAAATTAACATGTAAAAAACTATTATTAGGATTATCTTCTGTTTGGGGAAAGCGGAAAGAACATGGTAGTGGAAGGAAGAGTTCCAAAAGATGATAAGGCCTCCAGTGGGAAGTCAGAACATCTCCACAGTCCACAGGACTGGGCAACATTAACATTGGCAGGTGACAATTAGCAGAAAATCAAAATACTGAGGGATGGAGTAGAACAGGTGCCCAGCTCCAGGCAGTGGGTGATGAGCCATTTGACAGAGACAGAAGCAGAGACACGGCAAGAAATGGAGTGAGGTGGAAGTGCTGTGGGGTCTTCAGAGGAACTCCAACCTTGGCAGGGACTTCACTGCACTTCCTGCAAGGCAGCGGCATCGCCAGCCGAGGACGGCAGCTGAGTGCCAGCAAAGGGATTGATATGGTTTGGCTCTGTGTCCTCACCCAAATCTCACCTTGAATTGTAATAATCCTCACGTGTCAAGGGCAGGGCCAGGTGGAGATCATTGAATCACGGCGGCAGTTTCCCCCATACTGTTCTCATGATAGTGAGTGAGTTCTCACAAGATCTGATGGTTTTGTAAGCATCTGGCATTTCCCCTACTGACACTTCTCTTGCCTGCTGCTACGCAAGCCATGGCTTCCACCTTCCGCCATGCCATGATTGTGAAGACTCCCCAGCCATGTGGAACTGTGAGTCCACTAAACCTCTTTTTCTTTATAAGTTACCCAGTCTTGGGTATGTCTTTATTAGCAGCCTGAGAACAGACTAATACAGGGGTCCTGAGGAAAGGGGGAGTGAGTGGGAGGGAAGAAAAGCATGTCTCATCCCAGGACATTAGGATATATTGTGCTCAGTTTTAAAACACTGAAAAGCAAGACAATTATAACAGGCTTCTAGAAGCAGGTAATCCTGGAGGCAAAGCTGGGAGGCCAGGATGGATACGAATGAAGAAAGGAGGAAAGAGGACATCTTAAGCCAGGAAAGGATTATGTGTAGGAACAAAGGCAGGAGACAGGAAGCCTGGCCATCTGACTAGAGTGAAATTTACACAAGAGTGTACTTGAGCAAGCCTCTGATTCGAGCCCATATCAAGAGAGGTTATCTGTCTCTCCATTACAGCGAATATTCTGGAAAATCTGAATGAACTTTTAATAATAATTTAATAATATTTATTTAATATTTAACATTAATAATGCTAATAATTTAATAACATAATACAATCTTTTAAACACTTCATAATTTAACAATCATGAAATTGTCCATCCTTTTTTCCATAGCGCTAATTTCTTATGCATAGAATATGCACAGACACACTCACAAAATGACACTTGGATACACACAGAGACACACGCACATACACTTAGACATAGACAGACAAAGCACACACAATCACACAGACACTCACATGCCCGCTCCCAAACAGAAATACTAGTAGTGTTATACAGGCATACAATTGCATACTTTCATACACAGGCTCACTGATACTGATACCCTTGCACGCACAGATACACACACACACACATACACATGCACACTAACACCTTCACAACAAAATGTAAGATAGGTTCCCTCCTTACCTGGGCTTCAAGTATGTTAACCTTTTCTTTGAGATTTTCAATTCTTTTGTCTTGTTCTTTTAAATTATTTTTTAATCCTTCCATCTAATAATTAGAAAACACAATAGGAAAAACCTTGTCAGACCACAGGAAATAGTTACTTAAGTCAGAAATTGTATGGATTTCTGAAGTCAAAAGACGTTAGCAGACTCAGCAGGCAACAGAAAGTAGCAGGCCAAATTGACACCTGGGGCTGAAAGCCCTCAGCTGGTGCCGTGATTCACTTTAATCTTTGGATAACCTGTTTAAACCAAGTTCAGCAGGAGTGCATCCTATGAAAGCAGCAACTGGCCGCCCTTCTGCGTCTCAGCAACTTGATGTTCTCATCCTGCAGATGCAGCTGCTGGTGGACAGGATGCAAGGCCACTGCCTGGTGTGCAGAGGCTCCCTGCGGTAGAGATTTGTCAAGCAGCAGCATAATAAGGCGAACCTGCTTTGCCAAGAGGCAATGTGGAGTCAGGAGGTGGGGTGACGAGATTCAAAGCGGTGAAAGAAGAGAGGGGACACATGGATTCTAAGACCAACTTTGGCACGACTAGCTGTCATTAAACTGCTCCATAAAAAGAGGGTGTGGGGTGCGCCCAAAGTCCCTCCTGGCTCTCAAATTCCATTACTCAATTATCTGGCCTTTTAGTGAGGTCATAGCCAAGCAAGCACAAATGCTGTATCTGTGTCAGGAAGGCTCTGGAGTTATTTTGGAGGACTTCTATTTGGTAGTAAAGTAATTGAATAGAAGTCTGATTTTAAATTTTAAAACAGACCCCCAAAACCAGATCAATGCATATCTCGAAGTAGATTTTAAATACACACTCCACCATCTAGCTGGCTACTACCACAGTTGCCTCTACTTTGCCACCTGTCAGGCTGCTCCCAGAGAAGAAGGGCCAGGCTACACCGGTACCCTAAATCATCTCCTAAATAAATTATGAGGTTATGAAAATAGATCATTTCATGCTCAAGGAAGGGCTGAATCTCCTGACCTGTGAAATAGTCTAAAGACCAGTGTACATTATTTGGCTCAGAATACTTTTAGAAAATCACCGAAACTATCTAAAAAATAGTTACATATAATTTTCCAAGCTATCTTTATTGACAGTATTACAGGTGTTGGTGTTACAAACAAGAGAGGTCATTGGAAACAGAGCCATATTGCATGAGAAACAAAAAAGGATATGTCAGTAGGAAGAGAAATCTCATTGCTTCGAAAGTCCAGTCAAGCCACTCATATTTGGGCTCCACACCATAAACATATTGTTTACCAGATAAATACACTTGATTAAACTGACCTTCTGGATGACACTGCGCAGGTTCTGATGTTGGGAGTGAATCACGAACTGCAGATGAGAGATCTGCTCCTGGAGAATGGAAATCTCCCTCTGAAGATCCTGGCAACTGGGAATACAAAGGAAAAAAGAGCAAGAGAAAATGATTGGCTCACACGTTCCATAGCTTGCCCTTACTGCTAGCCCTCCTCCACACCACATTACTACTGGGGATCAGGTGGGTAAGACCCCAGGGCTCCATTATGCCACACAGGACACACTGAAGATAAATAGCTATGAAGTGGGCTCTGATTTGTTTGGATTTGACTTGAATGAGAATATCAATTCATGTCAAAAGTTCCTTTCTGACCATCTGTGACTCTTCTAGCAGGTAGTGGAATCAAGTTGTATTCAGTATGATAAAGCACTTATATGCTAAATTGCCTTGCCTGAGCACCCACAGACCTGGCACCCGTCAAACTTCACAGACAATTGCATGGCAATAGCAGAGTCAGAACATGGGAGCAGAAAGCGAGATTTTATCTATTAATATATTTATAAGAAACCAATTTCTAATGATTTGGGCTTAGCATATGTTGTGGATTGTCTGTGATTGTCTTTTTTTATTTTTTATTTTTTGGCTTCCTACTTTTGGTAATTCTACTATTGGTCCATAGGGAAAGGGGGGAAAAAAAGAAGAAAGGAAGAAATTTAATTCCAGCAAATATTTTTGAGTCCACATCAACCATTATGCGAAAAAAAGTCAATTTTGAACTTAGATTATTTATACTTTCCCAAAGCTCCATTCAGGTAACTGGAATTGGTTATACTGGTTTGGCTATTTCTCTACTTGCTACTATTATTAGAGTTATGAAGCCACATACATTGTGACAACACTACCAAGCTTAGAAGCATTGTGACCTCAGAGAAGTCACTTGGCCTTTGCTCTTATCCAGTGTCATCCCAATTCTGTTTCCTTTATTCATTTGTTGTTTTTGTTGGTGGTGGTGGTGGTTTGTTTTTTTTCAGACAGAGTCTTACTCTGTCACCCAGGCTGGAGTGTAGTGAGGTGATCTTGGCTCACCACAACCACCACCTCTGGGCTCTAGCGATTCTCACAGCTGGGACTACAACCATGTGCCACCACACCTGGCTAATTTTTGTATTTTTAGTAGAGACAGAGTTTCACCATTTTGGCCAGGCTGGTCTTCAACTCCTGACCTCAGGTGATCCACCTGCCTCAGCCTCTAGGTGTATCACAAAGATGGTGGAAATTCATAAGATACTATATAGCATGTTCTAATTAAAAAAAGGAGTTATCAGTTTCCATTTTGTTTCATATAATGGACTAAAACATTGTTTCAGAGAAATGCACATCTAAACCACTATGAAATATCATCTCACAGCAGTCATAATGGCTATTATTAAAAAGTAAAAAAATAACAGATGTTGGCCAGGATGCAGAGAAAAGAGAATGCTTTTACACGGTTCGTGGGAATGTAAATTAGTTCAGCCACTTTGGAAAGCAGTTTGGACATTTCTCAAAGGGGTAAAAACAGAACTACCAGTCAACCCAGCAATCCCATTACTGGGTATATACGCAAAGGAAACCCAATCATTCTACCAAAAAGATACGTATACTCGTATGTCCATCACAGCAGTATTCATGAGAGCAAAGACATATAAACAACCTAGGTGCCTATCAACAGTGGATTCAATACAGAAAATGTGTTACATATACACCCTGGAATACTTTGCAGCCATAAAAAAGAATGAAATTGTGTCTTTTGCAGCAACGTGGATGCAACTGAAGGTCATCATCCTAAGTGAATTAAGGCATAAAAAGAAAATCAAATACTGCACAATTCCACTTATAAGTGGGAGCTAAACACTAGGTAAACACAAACTTAAAGAAGGAAACAATAGATGCTGTGGACAACTAGAGGCAGAAAGAATGGAGGAGAAAGGGTTGAAAAACTACCTACTGAATACTATGCCTGCTACCTAGGTGACAGATTTAACAGTAGCCCAAACCTCAGCATCAGGCAATATACCCATGTAACAAACTTGCACATGTACCCCCGCAGGTAAAGTAAAAGTTGAAATTAAAACAAAAAAAGGAAGCTTTATTTTAATTGGTCCAATAGAGTCCTGGAAAGAAAAACAAAAGAAATTTACAATTTATAATTATAAAATAAATTATTGTAAACTTCCAGGACTCTTGAAAGAGACAGGAGGGGAAGATAGGAGGATGTTTGGGAGTACAGGCACAAGAAATCTACAGGGAACAGGATGCCTAGGACATTGGTGAGGGGAGGGAAGCAAATGAGGGGCCTGAGAGAAGGATGCAGAGAACAAAAAGAGAAGGTACAAAATGACGGGGGAACAAGAACATGCATCAAGTGTGCTACTCTGTTTTAGATGATAATCAGAAACATGTCTGATTATCATACCTACACAACTAAATCTCACTGCAAAAGTCTATTTCCCTCCTCTCAATTAATACTACAAGCAACTATCAAATTAAGAAAAGCCATAAAAGAAATGTAGACTGTCAACACAGGCTGAAGGAAGATCACTAGTTCAGCTGTGCCGATATTTTATCTGCTTTTTATAACACGATCACTTAAAGGACCCCGTACCTGGCAGAAAGCCTTATCTTGGTCTTTCTCTCTTGGAGAGGGGCAGTAGGGAATCCAAACAAAGTAAATGAGCAAGAAGTCCCTTGTTTTTCTTTCCACGGTCCATGGCAGGAAGTGTTTGAAAAGAAATAAGCTGATGCCTGATTCAGATGAAAACGCTTTGTGCCCATGTAATTTGAACTGGCAATGGCAGCAATACTGAGCTCTCACAGTATTTCCAAAATTCAAGTTCAGAGAATGGCTGCATCAGCACCAGCCTGTATTCACATTAGATTTCAGTTGTCCCTAGATTTGAGGTTCAGAGGCTTCTTGAGGCACGGGAGACTGACGAAACTTCAGGACCCCAGCGGGTGAGGCTCCAAACCCTAAGGATGTTGCGGGGAGATGAAAGAGCTTTCCAAGGAGAGACCAGACTTTGGATGTCTGCAAACATTCCTAACAGACAGTGAGAAGGCTTACTGCCCACAGAGAATCTTCAGGGGCAGGATGTCTTCAGAAGTCCAGGGAGATTGGGAGCGTGCGAGGGGCAGGGCTGAGAAATCTGCAGATGTTGCTCAGAACCCTTGCAGGGTAGAATTGCTGCGAACATGCAGAGGATGGAGTAACTGAGGAGCCTCAGAAGAAAACCTCAGTTACTAGGAAAAGATGACTGGAGAATATAAAGATCAAAACAGGTCAGGCATGGTGGTTCACGTCTGTAACCCAAGCACTTTGGGAGGCCAAGGCGGGCAGATCACTTGAGGCCAGGAGTTCGAGACCAGCCTGGCCAACATGGCGAAACCCATCTCTATTAAAAATACAAAAATTATGCTGGGTGTGGTGACTCACACCTGTAATCCCAGCACTATGGGAGGCCAAGGTGGGTGGATCACTTGAGGTCAGGAGTTCGAGACCAGCCTGGCCAACATGGTGAGACCCTGTCACTACTAAAAACAGAAAAATTAGCTGGGCGTGGTGGCGTGCACCTGTAATCCCAGCTACTGGGGAGGCTGAGGTACAAGAATCGCTTGAACCCAGGAGGTGGATGTTGCAGTGAGGTGAGATTGCGCCACTGCAATCCAGCCTGGGCGACAGAGCGAGACTCCGTCTAAAAAAATATAAAAAATCAAAACACAGAGGGCAAACAGAAATTGGGTCCATAGCTGGTGCTAAAATTCAAAATTGCTCCAGCAAGGATAGTGAAAGAAGAAAAGATAAAAATAACAGAAAGAGCAGCTATGACCCACTTAATGGTCAGACTCAGGACTTTCCTGGGAAGTAATGAGAAAGAGCTTAAGACACCTTGCAGAGGCAAGCTAGCTGTGAATATGCACGAAATATAAAAATACTGTAAGCTCTTAAAGGTGAGTATTTAAAATGGTTCTCTTTGTGTCCCATGACCTAGAACCTTGGAACCATTGGGAAAAAAAGATGACTTGAGATACGGGGAACAGATGTTGTTATTTTTCTATCAAAAATACCAAGCTCAGAAAACTTTCCCATGTACCCCTTGAAGATATACCATAAAGTTCACTGTGGAAAAAAAACACCAAAAACTTGAAATTGGCCTCAAAGTAGAAGAAAAATATTTCTAGAAGCACTCTTGAAAACACAAGACCTTGAGGCTTCACTTATTTCCATTAATACGCTAAAACAGTGACTAAAGGAAATTGCAGAAAATCTCTATTAGGATTGTCCAATAAGTATGAAGCCTAGTCATCCATTTAAGACCTTTAAATGTAAAAATATATCTAAGTAAGCTGCCACTTGATCCTCTTTTGAGCTTTGCTGTTTATCTTTCTGTTAAAGCACTTTTCTTTTCTTTTTTTTTTTTTTTTGAGACAAAGTCTCACTCTGTAGCCTAGCAGCACAATCTCGGCTCACTGCAACCTCTGCCTCCTGGGTATAAGTGATTCTCCTGCCTCAGTCTCCTGAGTAGCTGGGATTACAGGCTCCCACCACCACGCCCAGCTAATTTTTGTATTTTTAGTGGAGACAAGATTTCACCATGTTGGCCAGACTGGTCTCGAGCTCCTGACCTCAAGTGATCTGCCTGCCTCAGCCTCCCAAAGTGCTGGGATTACAGGCGTGAACCACTGCACCCAGCCCAGTCTTAATAAAGAGGTACACAAGCAAAACTGGAGGAAGAAAACATAAGGAAGGGTCAAGTCTAAAAAAAGGAGGCAAATGTCCGTATCCGGGATTCCTGCTCTGCTTTCTGATGTCTCAACATAATTTTTGACCATGTTTTCCTCTACAATGCAACTGAATAAAGATATAAAGCAAATGTGGAAATTAAAGCAGAACTGAAAAACTTTGGCTTCTAAGAAAATGTAGAAGACATGCTTTTCCCCATTCTTTCCACTAAGCACAACTAAAAGCCCTGGATATTGTATATGAAAAAAAAAAACACACAAGAAGACTCTGAACAGTGGAGAGAAGAAGGCTGACTGGCTCCAGAACCTGGGATCCAAGAAATGACACAATGGTGAATCCTCTGGGGTTTCTTTTTATCTCACACATCCCAGACTTGGAGCTGGAAAAAAACAGCAGCCTGGAATGCCAATGGGGGCAAGCAAAAAAAAAGCCCCAACAAAAGGAGAAGAGAATCTCTGCCCTACCCTTTTGAGGGAGGGAATTGAGGATTCTCTCTCAATTCATCACTGAAGGAGGGGGAAGAGACAACTATTTCTGGTTCACTTCCTGTTAGATTCCTTAGCATTCAAGAAGAGAAGTCAATCCTATCTTTAACTGCAGAAATGTGAAAAGAAATTACTTTGCCTCTAATTAGCAACATGGGATGATCACAGAAGAAGCACCTGACAGGAAGCCCACCCTCAATTTCTGTACTCCCCAACATCTCCCAAAGGGTTGGTGAAAAGAAACTGAGTTCACGGAGAATTGTCTCTCCCTCCATTCCTCACGATACTCGAGAATCTATCTTTGGGTCAACTTATACCACAGAGGGTGGCATTACTGGATTTTCTCACAGTGCCCTCTGATCCTGTTATAGTGGCTTTTATTGGATTGTGTTGGCATCATGCTATTCTGTTTAGATGATGTTTTGAGGTAAGCCTTTGTGTTTATTACAAGGGGTAACTTGAAAACATTATTCAGGGTTCTTTTTATGACAATACTCTGGCCTTATAGCTAGATTAGAAATAACTGAATGATTGCAAACACCTGATTGGTTTTAATCATGTGGAATTGTGACTCACAAAACTAATCATCATTTCCTGTTTGGGTTGGCTACTGGAAAATTTAAAACTGAGTCAGTGGTCTCCTGTGAGCAAGTTTGTAGCATCCATGGGCCTAATTTTGTAAACAAACTTTATGGTATACCTATTATTTTATCTCCTTGTCCTCATTATCTATTTTTTTCTAATTTAAGCAATCATATTATATTTTGCATAGTTTTTATAAATAACCTTAGATTTTCTTAAAAACTTCACAAAGGGCATGAATAGCCTGAGCATGGCCATATTTACACAGCCCAAGAATATAACACGTTTCAGTCTTTATAAAGTACATTTATTACCAGGGATTCATATAGTAAGATGTTTATGAGAATGAAAATTCCAGAAGAAACCAAAAGAGCTAGGTGCTGAGACAAAGAAAGTAAAAGTAGCAATGAAAGCCATGTTGCAGGCTCCAAGAGGCTACTTCTGGGTACACTATAGATTTCAGAGGCATTGGAAATATGAATAGCCCTACATAGAAATCCCACAGGATAGAGAAGATAGTGAGATTAGTGGCATCCTAGAGCTTCTTGGAAGCTATAAAAGAATCTTACTACCATCTGTGGGGACTCATATTGCCTTCTATTTAGGATCCAGTGTTTCTCTGGACTTCCATGAGTGTGAATATCACTGACTATGGGCCCCCCGTGGAATAGAGAATAACTAGGGACCACAACCACAAGAACAGAAGAGGTCAGATTCCCATTCCCAGGCCAGACTAAGGGAAAGAATCAACTTGGATGTAGGTGTAGCCCTGTTTGCATTTCAACAAAATTCATGAATGTGTCTATTTTCCATAAAATTCTTCTTTATTATTATTTTCGTTGGTGGTACCAAAGGTGTGCCTTGAGAGAACACTCCCACCCCAAACTACCACAGATAAATGTACAATTTAGGTAGCAACCATATGCTTTGACATGCAACCTCAACTTCAAGGTCTTTTCTCCTCTAAGGAGTTTCCATTCCTAAGCGGCACGTATGTAAATATGGAAGGGCCAACACTGTTTATTTTTATAATCCCTATTAGTCTGTTCTCATGCTGCTATGAAAACATACCCAAGACTCGGTAATTTATAAAGGAAAGAGGTTTAGTTGATTCACAGTTCTGCGGGGCTGGGGAGGCCTCAGGAAACTTACAGTCACGTTGGAAGGAGAAGTAAACACGTCCTTCTTCCCATGGTGGGCCAAAACCATGCAGCAAGAAGTGCCAAGCAAAAAGAGGAAAAGCCCCTTATAAAGCCATCAGAACTTGTGAGAACTCACGAGAACAGCAGCATTGGGCTAACCGCCCCCATGATTCAATTACCTCCCACCAGGTTTCTCCCATGACACATAGGGATTATGGGAACTACAATTCAAGATTCTCATCTTTTTGGGTAGGGACACCGCCAAACCGTATCAATCCCAAATATGTTTCCCCAAAAGATAACTCTTAAAAAGGCCTGCATATTTGTTTGTGATGTGGCAGGGCAGAGGGAAAAGTCGGAAAATGGTCTTTTGCTAATCGTTACTCAGAGGAATGAAGAACCCAGTTTGAGAGATCTTCAGAGGTTTCCAGAAATAAAAGAAAGATGGTCAAAATCTTTTACAGTAGAACGAGCACATGCTTTGCTATGTATGAGAATGTAGGAGCGAAAACTCCCAGCTCTATAACTTCTGAGAGATTGAGCAATCTTGCACAACTCAATTAGAATTTCAGCTCTTTCCTGGAAAGGTGAATGCAAGGATTAAAATAAAGAAGGTACCTGAGGTTATTCTGAAAACTGCAAAGCATTTTACCTACGTCAATTACCAGTAATGGTAATAGAAATATGGAGTCAACCTTATTTTTAAGAAGACAAATCTTTTTAACTTTTCTGTCCTCTTTTTATGACCCTATCTATCTAACCTTAACCTAACAGAAACCCTCTTTTTTGTGGTAGCTTAATCAAGTCTCTATTACTTCAACCAAAGGAGTCTGATTCCTACTGATTTCATTTTCTTGTCACTTCACAAACTGAATGCCTCTACATAAAGCTCAGACAAAGTAATAAGTAATCACAAATATGTGTGATACCCACAATCTATAAAAATTGCATAAGCCTGGATGTTGAAAAACCTTTCTAGAAACACCAAACATCCACTTTCCCCAAGAAATTTCTAAAACTTCCTTAGGAGCTTTTAAAGAATTCTTTATAATAACTGTTTATATAGAATAGAAGTGAAAGAATAGATCAGGTTGGTTTTTAAAAGAGCTACATTGTTGGCTCAAAGACGGACAATAGCCCTATCACCAATTTTTTAAAAACACATTTTTTAAAGGAAAAAAAAAATCAAACTTGGACGGCCTGAACTTTTAATGGAAGACACGTACAAATCAGTAGTTCTGCTACAAGGAAAAGCTCTGCCTATTTAAGAAAAATATTAACTGAAGATTTACTTAGATTGAAGTTATGAATATCCAAATGTAATTCCAAGACCTAAGGATACTTTCTGCAGTATTTCCTTCAATCTCTACAGAAATGTGCAGTGTTATAAAACTATCTTAGAAGTCCCCTGTTTTGGGCTACATGTTTGTCACAGGGAAGAAGCTAGGAAAATTAATAACTTATTGGAATCTTGTATGTTTCAAGTGTGTGTGTGTGTGTGTGTGTGTAATTGCCAGGATCAGCCCATTTCTGGGCTTTGGCATATGTGGTCCAAAATGCAGGAATACAAGCCAGGCAGAAGGTACAACAGATGAGGACAGGTGGGAAGAAAGATAAAAAAGGAAAGGAAGCAGCACGGAGCCTGTAGGGGGGAAATCGAAAGACTGAGAAAAAGGGATGTCTGAGTACATATCATTGAATAAATGACATATCATTGAATTCTGTCCATAACCGTGCCTAATATCCTAGCGAACAATAGTTCTAGGATGACAAACTAAGATCTTGAAATTGATTTGACTTTGAACAGTATCATTATATCAGAACATACAATGATTGTGTTGGACTAGAATTTTTAAAAAATAAAGAAAAATCTCAGAAAATGTCTTATTATATGATTTATTACATGATAATACAGATACTTTTTCTAATAGCAGCTGAGTAGCACAGCGATTATGGCGATATCCACAAACCCACCCCCAGCATACTAAGGACTGTGACTGCTTGTAAACTGTGAGTATTTTTAAGTCCAAAGAACTATGGATATTGTCCCTAGTATTTCCTTCACCCTACAGAATTAAGGAGTATCAGGAAACTATCTTAGAATTCCGCTTGTGGGCTGGCCAGTGCAATGTAAGCTGTAAAAGAAACTCATTAACTAAGACAGAAGCATCAGAGAATAAAGACCTGTCAAGCGTCCTCCTTAGCATAAACGGTAAACGAGGAGGTGCCAGGCTTACTCACTCATTCACTCTTCAGAAAGACTAACCTTCCCGTGGGGTTCCCTGCACCCCCAGTGGACTCTGCCCCCTGCTCCCAACTGCTCTGTGATTCCTCTGAGTTTGAGGAAGGGGAGGCACATAACTACATGACTGTTAATCCCAGGAATTCAACCTTCCTCCTGCACTGTCAGTCATCCTATTTCTTTGGGGGACAGAAGACCTTCTGTTCTGTGGCTGGCATACCAGTGGACAGGAAAGAAATCAGGAACTGCTTTTACTTAACAGGTAGCTTCGCAAACCTTTTTCCACATGTAGCACTGGATTTGAGTTGCAGTAGCTTGTTTTCCAAAGACAGTTTTCTTTCTAGTAGTGTTCTCTTTTCCTAGGAGAAAATGAGATACAAATGTTGCTGAACTACATGTGTATGTTTGGTAAGGCCTTCCTCTTGTCATACTAGAACTATGGCTTGAGCTAAAGAGTTAATTTCCCATGTGCTGTTACTCTTATCTTCAAGGAAACCTAGCTGAGTATTCTCCTGTGTGCTTTACACATAGTTCAACTATAGGCCAAAAATAATTGTCTTCACTCTCTCACCTGCCTGGAGGACTTCTTTTGCTCATCTTCCAAGGCATTGCCCATAGCCTGTTCAGTTCAACCTCTCCCACTCACCTCTCCCCATCCTACCACACATAAGCAGCCAGCTCATCCCTTGCTAGACCCTGGCTCTCCCACCCTTACATCTGCTTCCCCTGCATTAGACTGAGTTGTTGGTATCCAAGGACACTAGATACCTCTAGGTAGTACGTGTCATCTGTCAGAAGGTAGTAAAACAATAAACATATTTTTGATGAAGGATCAAGGCCACAAAGGATACAAATGCTTTCCAATTAGGATACAGGAGAAACTCAGATTGCAATTTTATGATGTTGGGAAAGAATATCTTTTAAAAAGATGCCTTAATTTGATTATTAAGCCAAAGCCTTTCCATTCAAAAGGAAAACAGACAAGACCATGAAAAACGAAGCTGAGATGACTGTGTTCATTTTATATTTGATGGCACTCAGCTGAAAAAAGGAATTTGGTGCTTTGGCCTGACGGTTTAGGTTGCCAAGTTGGAAAGAATCAAGGGAGATTGAAAAGAGGCAGGAATTGGTATTGGCAACTTGGATGGAATTGACTGGAAGACGTGTGCTGAAACTATCTATAATGCTGTTTAAAATTACTTCCTGCTGCAGCATCTCAGTGAGTAGTACAAAGCAAGGCAGTGCTGTCTAGCAGAAACATCACAAAGATTGTACATAGGGACTTAACCTGGTTTCTAAATTTTGGCCAAGGTTTTCAACTCTCGGGCCTTACCAATGTTAAGAAAAATTAACCCAAACTTGGAAATAAAAACAATATACAGCATGCAGTTTTAATGTCATATTGGGTCATCGTTTAATTATCTGACCCAAGATTTATTTAATTCTCTCAGAGAATTTTCCTCTGTTCGCTTTTATTATTTATTATTTGATTAGAGCCCTGGGTCTGTGAAGTTGCATGTAAATTTGTAGATTTCTGTCTGGTAGAAGACATAATCCCAAAGGTTATGGTTTAATTGCCTTAAAGAATAGTAACTGTTTTTTTTAAATTTAATCTAGTAATCCTATACTATTTTCAATTTTTCTCCAAAATGCCTATAAATGACTAGTTTCTGAAAATATTTTATTTAAACCAGCTTTCTCATCTTACTGTTTCCCTCATTAATTAATGAGTTACAACATTTGACATGTATTCATTCTACATTCATTTGACTCATATTTGTATCTTCTGAGCATTCCTAAAATGGGGATAATATTACCTATATTGAAATGTTGGGATGATAGAGATAATATATGTAAAAGAGGTACAGGCTTCCTGGCACATATTTGGATCTCAATATATAATAATTGGAAGGCACTGGTTACTTCATATCTTATGTGTTCTGTATGCTTTTTCAAATTTTTCTTATAGTATTCTTGCCACATAAAAATAGCCCTAGAGTTGCCCTAGCTGTGTTCAAATTATTTCTGAGGGATCACAGATCTCTTTCTTTCTTTCTCTTTCTTTCTTTTCTTTTCTTTCTTTCTCTCTGCTTTCTTTCTCTTCTTCTTCTCTTTCTTTTCTTCTTTCTTTCTTTTCTTTCTTCTTTCTTTCTTTCTTTTTCTTTCTTTCTTTCTCTCTCTTTTCTCTGTCTCTCTCTCTCTCTCCTCTCCCCCCCCGCTCTCTTCTTTTTTTTTTTTCTTCAGAGTTATTTGCTCTTGTTTGCCCAGGCTGGAGTGCAGTGGTGCTATCCTGCTCACTGCAACCTCTGGCCTCCCAGGTTCAAGCGATTTCCTGGCCTCAGCCTCCCGAGTAGCTGGGATTAAAGACATGTGCCACCACGTCTGGCTAATTTTGTATTTTTAGTAGAGACGGGGTTTCTCCATGTTGGTCAGTCTAGTCTCGAACTCCCGACCTCAGGTGATCCACCCGCCTTGGCCTGCCAAAGTACTGGGATTACAGGCACGAGCCACTGCGCCCGGCCCACAGATACATCTGACAAGCGTATGATGAGACTTGGATTGTCAAAAAACACACCACAGATAATGTATTTTGAATTTGTAGGGTGAGGGAAAATGGTGCCTAACAAATGTTTAATAGTCTTACTCTTGATTAATGGATTTTCATAAACAGGGGTCAAGGGAACCAGACAACCAGACAAGTAAATGATCTCCCTTGGCCAGGCTCTGCCATCTAGCTTGGGTTCTTTTTGCCTCCTCTTTGACAACACAGAAAATCTCACCATACCAGATAGCACTTTTCAGGCAATGTCTTCAGGAAAGGGAAAGGGAGTTCATAGCACCACACAGTGGGCAACCCACTATTCCCAGAGCCATACCTCCAGACAGCTCCAGGTTTCCCTCACCAGGCTGATCGGAGAAGGCACCAATTTCAATCATGGCCAAATGCTAACATCTAAATGTTTTGGAACCAACTCTATCATTTTTGTCCAGCATGAGAGAAGACGGGGGCATAACGGAAAGGGTTGTGATGTAGAAAGTGGAGGACTGTGGAACAGTTTCGGGTTCATGCTGTTCTCATTTATAAAATGATCTTGAGGAACTAGGTGGTCTCAAAAGTGCCTTTGAGCTCTAAAATTGCAATGGAGCTAAATCAATGACACTAGAAAATAAATATGATGTAACAGAATTGCACTGCTAGCAAATGGAACATATGCCATATTAAAATGCTCTTACTGGGCATTTTTGCTAGCTTATCACTGTGCTTATGGAATTCATTCTCACTGCATTCCTGATTAAAGTGGGACAGATGGTGAAGGTTTTAAGTAATGTGTTCATTACCAGACCTCATACCACTAATGGCTATTTACTGGAGCAGTGGATTGTTCAAGTGAGTAGCAAATAGATTTTTCTCCAGGGGGCACCCATGACCAGGGCAATATTTATCAACCGTTGTGAGGATGTTCATTTTTAATTTTTACTTTCTTTCTGAATTTGTGTCTTTTTCCTATTAATACAAAAGGCCCAGTACACCCTCCCCTTATTCTGGCCCACACTCCCTCTCTGAGACACCCTACCTCACAGCCTGTCTCCTCAGTCTCTCTTTAAACCAAGATGTTGCCCAACTTTGTTCCTTATAGTTTTATTTATTTGCTTGTTTCACAAATATAAAATACTTTAAAACCAATTTGCTTTTTTTTGTTTTGTTTTGTTTTTGAGACAGAGTCCTGCTCTATCACCCAGGCTAAAGTATAGTGGCATCATCTCGGCTCACTGCAACCTCCACTTCCCAGGTTCAAGTGATTCTCATACTTCAGCCACCAGAGTAGCTGGGACTGCAAGCACGTGCTACCATGCCCAGCTAATTTTTGTGTTCTCTTAGGAGAGACTGGGTTTCACCACGTTGGCCAGGCTAGTCTCGAACTCCTGGCCTTAAGTGATCCTCCTGCCTCAGCCTCCCCAAATGCTGGAATTATAGGCATGAGCCACCACACCTGGCCTAAACCATCTTTTACTTTAAATAAAACTGCGCATTGCCCCTCCACATCATCCCCACTTACCTCCACCCTCCAGAGATTCCAGTAGGCTGCACTTTAGAAAGTCACTGAATTATTCTGGAAGGTTGCTGCATGGCCTTACTAAGTCATGCGCATCCTGTCTACTTCCTTTGTCCAAGATCTCCTGGAGACAGCCCACTATTAAGAGTTATTATCAGGGCAGGAACTAGGCCATCACTTCCCAAGAATGTCCTGCCAGGATCTGAGTCACTGAACCTTATTCTAGGGCATACTCCTCTGCCTTTGACTGTGCTTTCAGCCTCCCTAAAGCACTCATAGAGGAATTCAGAAAGGGAGATTTAGGAAGTTCCTTGAGCCTCACACAATCCAGATATACTACATTGTCATATCCACAAAAAGAGACGGGTTCATTCACAAATATATATTCAGCCCCTAGTTCTGTTACACATGGTGGTGTTCAAATATTTGTTTAGTAAACAGTCAAGTAAATATACCCCAGAACTCTGAGATGAACTAACATCTAGTATACATTTCCTAGGATCACTAGGAAATAGAAATTATCTTCTACTGTTCTTTTTTTTTTTTCTGAGATGGAGTCTCGCTATGTCACCAGGCTGGAGTGCAGTGGCACAATCTCGGTTCACTGCAACCTCCCTCCTCCTGAGTTCAAGTGATTCTCCTGTCTCAGCCTCCCAAGTAGCTGGGACTACAGGCCCCTGCCACCACGCCCAGCTAATTTTTGTATTTTTAGTAGAGACAGGATTTCACCATGTTGGCCAGGATCGTCTCGATCTCTTGACCTCATGATCCACCCACCTCGGCCTCCCAAAGTGCTGGGATTATAGACATAAGCCACCGTGCCCAGCCTGTTCTTTTGTTAATTTGGGGGCACTAAACCTGACCCAATATTACTGGGTTTGAGATGGCGTCAGCTCTACACTAAACTTAAATTTCAAGCTGGTTAATCAATCTGTTTGGTTAAGCAATTCTATTCGTTTCCCAGAATTGTCTTTCTTTCCTTAATGCAAACATTCTTTGTGCTATCTTAGTTTTATTAAGCTGTTTATTATAGGATCAAGTATTCTGCCACTACCAGGTACACATCCAAATATTACAGTTTTTCCAAAACAGCATAATTATAAACTGTCATGCCTGGATAAACTAATTGCTTAAGGATATTCTAGCCCAGTGATTCTGCTAAAGTATAACACTCAGTGACCTACCACATAATACACATGCAGCTGAATACTGTTATCTTAGAACCACTTGATAATGGGCATATTTAATTTTTGTGATTTCCTCATAGGTCCTTCACCAAGACTACAAATTCAACCAAATCACAATGTCATAAAACTTTAAATTCTTGGGAAATATTTTTAAACAAATCAAAGTTCCTTTGATAAGAAACCTAAATATTGAAATGTGATGTTTTTGAAATGATATTTATGAAATGGCATAAACCCAGGCAGACTCATAAAACAAATTAAAGCGAAAAATAACAGAGGCAAATACAATAAATATAAAAAATGTATTGGGCAATATTTACTAGTATCCAAAGCCTATATTTTTCTCTATCCCCAATTCAGTTTCAGAGATGCCAGTTTTCTCTTTGTTTTGCTATTAAAAAATAATATTCCTTGATTTGTCCAAGTTCTAAATTCTAAGGCATACATACACAAATTTACGTGTTCACCTTTTGTGTATATTTGGAATGCTAGCTAGTTAAATGAACATGGCATGAAATATTTTCAAATTTTTATTCTATTATTACTCTTCTCTAAATGTGCCTTCTTAAAGTTCCAATTTCTACAGAATGGCTTTTCTTAATGTAAACTGTATCTCTCCTAGTGCAGCCATAGGTTTTTACAAACACAAAGTAGACTTGGGTGGTCAAAAATGGATACTGCACTGACTCTAATACATAAAAATGCTGTGATTACAGGGACCTGCTATATTAATACTCCTAGTAGATGGACTTTGTGCTCTTTTCCATTAGTTGCATTCACAGCCTCACCTGGTTCCCCTTTCTAAGTCATGTATTTCCTAGAAAGTGACAAATGATGATATGACTACAGTATTTGCAGAAAGGTAAATCAATCACTACAGTATAGATCATATGAAATGTTTAAGGGAAAATTAATATTAAATACTTCCTAAGGGCAAATACTGTAAAGAATACTTTCACTTAACATTATCTTATTTAATTTAATATCCTATTTATTTTGGTATTCTTTTATTTCATTCTCATCCTAACCCTGTCAGTAAGAAAATCCTCTAATTCTCCAGGGCTCTACCTTTTCCATTCTCTGTACAAGGTTCTCCAGTTCTGTAATTTGACTGTGTTTTTCTTCAAGTTTTTCAGCAACTTGATTCAGATTTTCAACATGTTGTTTCAATTTCTGTTCTTTTTCAAGCTTGTTAACCTATGGTCAGAGAAACAGTTGTGTTGTGAAAACTCTTTTTATTAAACCTATACACATATTACCTCTTTCTACAATTTTCTAAATAGCCAAAAAAATTCAGAATTCATACTTGCTTAGAATTGCTCTTTTTGATTTCAGTGTTTCCTTCAAAATAACTCTGATAGACTACAACAACATTAAATCAAGAATTAATATTATAATAAACATAAATATCCTTCCTAGAATGCTTCCATTTGTTACCATAAAGCATACTTTCTGAATTGATACAAGAGAGAAAGATGCTAATTTAACAAAAGCAACATTTTTGACTTTATCTCAACAATTATTATCCAGAACAAAAAAAAAAACGTACAGGTTCAATTAAAACACGTGTTATTTTTAATCAGAAAGTGTCATAAAATCAGAATAACTCTCCTCAGCGTGACACCGTGCTACTTCACAGGCATAGAGCAGGGGTTGTGCTGAGGGATCATAGGAGAGAAGTCTCCATCTAGCAGGTAATTGGCTACAGTGGGACTGTGTCGACTAACTTGTTACTCTTCCGCATGTGTATTTAACAAAGCTGACGTTTCACAGGGAAAAATAAGTGTCTGGCTTCCTTTGTAAATACCAAGTGGGCCTTTCAGTCAGTTCACTCCAGGCTAGTGCCGAGCCCACATTACAGGGATGCATGCTTCTTGTCCCCACAAGTCCCCCCATAGCATAGCACCCTCATCAGCTTCCCGCTTATGTTCTTCATCTGCACCCTGCATGCATGTGAGTATGCAACCATCACTACCACAGCTTGATGCATGAAAGGGTGTCACCTAGGCAGTGAATTTCCTACTGTACTCCCCTGGGGACCTTCCTACAGCCTGAGCTGACAGACACCTGGGTGCCCCAAACTATTATGAGTGAACTTACGTATTAGCTGTTTTATATTTTTAATTTTGGCAAACACACACATACAGGCATACACACACTTTTTTGACTTCTCCAGTTCTAGAATATATTTTTCAGACAGATTTTATTGGCCCTAGTGTATATACTTCAGATTTAAAAACAAATGAACAAAAAAGAACATGTATAAATGTATGTACATTTTTATTTTTAAAATTTATATATTTACATATTAAAATATAAAAATATATAACTTATATATTATATATTATTTATTATACTTTATATAAAATATAATTTATATATTATATATAACTATATATTTTAAAAATATATCTTTATATATTTTTTAAAAACATATAGATACATATTTTGTTTTCTATTTTCTATAACCCAAAGTATGTATCCTAAGTTCAAAACAATTTTGAAACCATGTGTCTAGCCCAACTCTTTCATTCTAGAGACAAGGACACCCAAATCCAGACAGGAAGAATGGCTCAGTCTGGGTCATATAGCGAGTCAATGGCAGAACCCGAAGAGAGGTTACCAGTCAGGCTCCGCAGGGCCAGCCCAGACTTCCATGCAGGGTGGCACTGCCTCCCTCCCACCTGTGCTCATGGAGGCTCTGGGCAACAACTGCAACACAGCAGCTCAGCAACATCTGGGGGTGTCAGGCTAAGCAGGGGCGAGGGAAACTGGCAGAAAAGACTAGCACACCGCTCCTTTCTCAAGTCTTTTGCCAAGTCACTTGGCCATTGCTTGTTTCATTTCTAACTCTTCCAGAAAGATGAACTTGAACAGCTCAGGGTGGGGGCTAGTTCTCCCATAGACAAGCTGCGTGTTTGGTACCTGGAGTAAGTGTTTACTGTCCTCATGCTTCTTTCTCACTTCTTCAGACTGTGTTTGGTAGTTTTCAAATAATCTCCGGGCCACGTTTCTCAGAGCTGCTGCTCCTGCTTCTCTGGTGGCTTCCAGCTAGAAAAAAGGTCACTATGCATGTTCTGACATTTCCAACAAAAAACTTTAAAGGCAGAACAGTTTGATGGGCAATTAAGAACACCAAGGGTAAAACTATACCTTTTACAGCCTCATAGACAATGGATAGAAGAGAAGACACTGTTATTTGGTAAGAGGAAAATGTAAAAGGAGAAACTCCCCATTTAGAGGGGCTGTTGAAAAGGCAGATTTGCCATAGTCAAACCAAACCAGAGCTCTGTGCACAGTAATGCCCTGCAGTGATAGTCCTCACTGTTCAGATAACTCTATGCTGCTCTGTCAGCTTATACACTTATTTGCAAGCCTTTTATCATTAATGTCCATAACAGTGTTAAAAAGTGTATCTTCCTGAAATAGAAGTGGGACAAGGTTAAAGTATTGAGGACAATAATGCTAAAATGTCATGAATCTTTCTGGGATTTAACCTGAGGAAACAATCAAGAATGACTATAAAGATTTCCCTATCAAGATATTCATTGCAGGACTGCATATAAAATAAACCTTAAACAGGAAAATCAAAAGCATTCAGCCATAGACAAATTTAAAAAATATTGTGGCATTTGACTATGAAGGCTATAATTAATATTTATTAAATATGAACACACTTTTAAAAATGTATTGTGGATTGTGGTAAGAACACTTAACATGAGATCTACTAAGTGTGTACAGTACAGTATTGTGAACTATAGGCATAATGTTATGCAGTAGATGTCTAGTCATCTTGCATGACTGAAATTGTATAACTGTTGAACTTCTGTGAGATATTTTCAATAACAAAAGAAGCCTCAAAAATAAAACAGTGAGATATGATTTGTGAAATATAAAAATGCTTCTCTATGTAAGGGAACACACAGGTGGACCTATGGATGTGTGTACACATCTCTCTGCTTTTACAGAGCCACCAATGCTAACAACCCATCCTATTAGCTCAAAGGCTCAAAACACAGAATTTGAAACTTCTAACAGTCGTACCTTGATTTTCAATACTTCATTCTCTTTGTGCATTTCTAAGAGCTGTAGGTCTTTTCCTTTTATCTTTTTCATGAGCAAATCCAAACTGCAACAAGAAGGATCCATCTCAGAATCAGAGCCCTGTTGAAGGTTTCCACAGTGCTGAAACAGACAAATGAAAATCATAGACCTAACTGTCTTTTCCTCTACAAGCTTTGACAACAGTAATGATCATTTAGTATTACGTATAGCAAAGAGGCTTCAGGTCAGCATACATAAACATCTTTTGAATCTCAAATATCAATGAGAGATTCTGGAAGCACCTGACTTCTACATTTGCTCAAATTTGAACAGATTCTTATATTGAAAGAGGTAGAATGACATTTTAACTTTTATATTTTCTATAGTTTCAAATATACTGATCAGTGCTTTTTAGGAGATAAATAATGTCCACAAGGCCAGACATTTTTTAAAAATCTAAGTTGTCGACATAATTACATTTTTGTTACATTGCATTATAGACTAACAGTCAGACCTAACAGTTACAATACATAATGGTCAATGTTTGGTGATGCTTCACTGTAATTACCTCATATTAAATTTCCAATCAGAGATATCAGAACTGAATGGCACTACCATTATAACTTGATGTAAGCTCTAGCTTACTGAAAATACACTTGGAACATAAATATCATCTGGAATTGTGGACACGCAGAGGTGAAAAAGAAATAATAAACCATCTAACTTAACCTGTCTATTTTACAGATGTAGAAACTGAGGACCAGGGCCCAAGTTTCTGCAGCACAGGAGTGGGAGAGCTCCTGGCACAGCCTCTTGAATAGTTACTGTGTGCTCTTTCTGTTCTTTCAATGTATTTCAAAACAGAGAAACTATTCACAATTACACATACCCTACAATTATAATAACAACTTCTATTTGTTAAACACCTGTTATGTGCCCGCTCATCTTTTACATGTTTTACATACAGTCCTTTGTCTGAATACTGAAAACAATGGAAGGCACTAGGCCCTTTACACAGGTGAGGAATTTGAAGATGAAAGTTTAACGAACACACCTAGGGTTATACCTAAAATACCTGCCAGACCAGAATTAGAATCCCAGTTTGTTTAACAACAAAATATATAATATTTTCACTATAATATAATAACTATGACTGTAGAAATAAATAACAAAAAGAACATAGTGTATGTGGATAACATCCTCCCTCACCATAACTCTGCCACAATTTGGTTTCTTATAGTCCAGACCCTAGTGCATATTTCTACTCTCCATATACAAAGTAGGAATTATTTTCTTTTTTAATTTGTTAAAGAATATTTGACAGAAGAAACTCTTGTAGAAGGTAGATTATCAGCAGTGGCAGACGGCTACAAAGATCATTGATCAGTGCTTTTCAAACTTCAGTATGCCTATGAATTACTGGGTGATCGATCTGGTTAAAAAATGCAGATTCTGAATCAGGTCTGGGGTAGAGCCTAGATGCTCCGTTTCTAACATGCTCCCGGTGATGCTGCGCTGCTCGGACTGCAGACCACACTTGAGAGTAGCAAGGCCCTAGATCACTATGGTGAAATCTCTACAGGGCCAGAGGGCTGAAGTTTTGATGCATGGTGGATCTGCTGACCTTCTGTGGACTGAGGTGGCTGAGGCAGACACACAGCAACACAATGTCGTCAACATTACTAGGAAGCTCCTCCTATCTATGGTGGGCATTTGGTCCTCAATTTCCTTGGCCCGTGGACAGCATTTGACAGAGGTGTCCCGCCCTGCTTCTGAAACCCTCTCCTCATTTGCCTTCAGTGACTCCTGCTACAGTGGCCTTGACAGGAGTAGCTTCAAACCACAAAAGGTGAGCAGATCAACCACACATCAAATCACCAGCCCTCTGGCCCTGTAGAGACTTCGCCATGATAATCTAGAGAGTACTCTCAAGTGTGGTCTACAGTCCCAGCAGCTCAGCATCAACAGGAGCTTGTTAGAAATGCAGCACCTAGGCTCTACCCTAGAACCTTGAAATCTCCTGTTCCTTCTAATCCACCAGCCTGATCTCAGCTTTCTGGGATGGTTCTTCTTCCTAACATCTCAACATTGGGAATGGGCATCTCAAGACTCAGTCCTTAGATCTTCTCTCATTTCTCTCCACACTCACTCTCTTGGTAAACTTCTCCAGTTTCAGAACTTTAAATACAATCCTTAAATGCCCAAAATCTCTACCCTGTATCCTGGACCTTCTAGCTCAGTCTTCTACCTGCAGTTCCTGAATCAGATGTTCAGCTGCCTATTAGAAGCCTCTACTTGGAGGTTTAACAGGCAGCTCAACATAGCCCAAACTGAATTTTTTAATCTTCCCTATCATTCCTAAACATAACCTTGTTTTCTAGTTTAGAAGTACTTTAAATAATAATGGAAGCTAGTTATGTTAGTGTGGGAGGCTGAGGGTGATGAAAATGACTACATTTATGCATCATACCCCACGTTATGGTGGACTCTGTGGCCATGCTTATAGTGGACAACACTGATGAAGTACACTTGGCTCAGATGTGGTTTAGCTTGGTGTCATCCAGGCAAAGCTAAGTGCAGATTGCTCGACCTGAGGTATATAAAGCTGATGTTGGGGAAGGGAGTGCGTTCAAGCTTATCAACTATTTATCTGACAAAGTCTTCACTCAACTCAGGCCTAAAAGCTTCAACTGTGTATGTCTATTCGTGTGGCTCACGTGAGACTAAAAGCGCTGCCTGTCATTGGGAAATGTTGCTGTCGTGAATCTTGGCTAGACCAACATGTTCTCATTTACTTTCGATAAGTAAGCCTTGTTTAACATATTCAAGTAAGGCCTAGCCATTCCAATTTGATCTCATAACATTTGTGGTTAAACATTTCACACATATGGCCATTAACATCTTTAGATATGCATGAAATATTTCAACACTCATCCTTTGAAGCTTCAATGAACTTAGTAATTGCCCAAAAAGTTACTTTAAAAAGTCTAAATGGCTTTATGCTAATCTTCTGCAGGAAATTATTACCTTTGTATCTAGTTTGTTATTTGTACTGTCATGTCTTATTTCATCTTTAAACATTTGGGTTCTGATCTTTTCCAGAGTAGTTCGAATCTAGAAAAGGAAAAAAAAAAATTAATTCGTTTCAAAGGCATTTAATGCCGAAAGTTGTTTTCTCAATACCAGTTACAGGGTACCTGATTACCTAGAAAGTAATACATATATATTGATATCAGATTTAAATAACTGCCACCATCAACCTAACTTGCATTTAGGCTAATATTGTTTGGATTGCTGAAAGTAAGCATTTGGTCTTTACAACTCTTTCTCAGACAAATCTAAAACACATCACTTAAGTAAATATTATCCCCAAAGCAGTTATTATTTAGTAATTAGTACTTAATATTATTTAGTTTTGTTTTGTCTTTTTAGTAATTTAGTACTAATTTACTGTTTAGTAATTACTATAAAACAATTACTACTTAGTAATCACTATAAAATAATTACTATCTACTAATTACTACAAAATAATTAATACCTAGTAATTACTACAAAATAATTACTATTAAGTAATTACTACAGAATAATTACTGAGAGATCACATGCATTTATGCATGAAATATAAGCCCCATGTCTTGATGACCTGTGGAGTTGCAAGACACTCAAAGATGATGGAATTAATTGATCTGAGCAAGTTATAAACTATGCCAGAATTTGTCCATTATTTAATTAAATAATCCAAAAAGGTAAAATGTGAAATTTCTCTTTTTATTCAGTATCCTCTTAGATTGTAAGACTGTGAGAGTAGGAGCGAGGTTTATACTCTAGCACATTTTTAAATTTTGTATTATTATAATTTTTTTTTTTTTTGAGACAGAGTCTCACTCTGTCACCCAGGTTGAAGTGCAATGGCGCAATCTCCACTCACTGTAACCTCTGCCACCTGGGTTCAAGTGATTCTCCTGCATCAGCCCCCTAAGTAGTTGGGATTACAGGTGCCCACCACCAAGCCTGGCTAATTTTTTTGTATTTTTAGTAGAGACAGGGTTTTGCCATGTTGATCAGGCTGGTCTCAAACTCCTGACCTCAGGTGATCCACCTGCCTCAGCCTCCCAAAGTGCTGGGATTACAGACATGAGCCACTGTACCTGGCCTACTCTGGCACATTTTAAGTGCTTAATACATGTCTGTTGTAAGAAACAGTTAAGAATATATATTTCTTGTCAGCCATTATCATTTTGGATTCTCATAAGACTTCACACGTTTAATGAAGTGACATGCCAACCCGCAGTCACTGGCAATAGTTACCCTGAACTGTGAAAAGGAACAAGGTAACGAGAGGCACCAACTCAGCAGGAAATGTAAACATTTACTTGGGAACACCATCAACACTCGTGAAACCACTGGAAAACATTATAAAACAGTAGGAAATACAGTGGTGAATAGTGAGGGACAAATTAAGTGCTGATAGGTGTTCTGAACCCTCCTGACCCATTATTCAATTTTACTGAGTGAGGAAAATTATTTTACTCCAAGGGTAGGAACAGTTTCATATCCTCAAGAGAAATGACTAAACATGGGTTTAAATTTCAGCGAGGAAGAGTGTCCTTTGCCAAATTAGAGTTGTTCCTTTACATATGTTCTATGGAGAGGGAAACAAAGTCCTCCAGCCCATATTGGAATTTCTCTTTAAAAATCATATCATACTAATGATTTCTGCTACCCACATACCTTTTTCACATACTCGGTTTCTTCAATAATGTGAGTGGACGTAGACTCATACAAGGCAGAATTATCTTCCATCTTATCCCTTGGCGGAATTTCTGTGGTCACTGTCACCGTTGTCATTGTGAATTCTGGCTTTAAGAAAACATAAATCAGCTAAGCAAAACAGACTGTTTTGATTGTATGATTATATGGTTCATAAACTGAAATAAGTTAAACAACTTATTTTTTGCAACCCGTTACGAAGTAAAAAAACCTACGCATCATCACTTAAAGCTAAAAACATCAGTGAATATTTAATGAGGAAACTTTAACCTGAGAGACCCCATTAATCAATCTTAACATAAATTAAGGATCTTAAGAGATACAGGACCAAATGCAACATATGAATCTTGTTTGGATTTTGATTCAAAAAAATCAACTATGTAAAGGCATTTTTTAGACTAACTGGATAATATATGATGTTAAAGAACTGTTGTAATTTTGCTAGCTGTGATAATTATGACATTCTTTAAAAGGATTGTATCTTTTAGTGATACCTACTGACATATTTGCAGGTGACATTGTGTTACATTTGGAACTGCTTTAAAACTCAAAGAGTGAGGTAAAAGGAGATGGGGATAAAGATTAAGGAAGTTTAGCAAAATATAGATAACTACTGAAACTGGGTGACAAGTCTGTAGGGTTCATTGTATTCCTCCAAGTATTTTGATTTTGCTTGAAATTTCTATAATAAATGGTAAATAACTAACAAGTAAACTATAATAAAAAGCCCTGTGAGGTAGGATTATTAATCCTCTGTTACTGATAAGAGGCCAAGACTCCACTCCCATAGTGACATTAACTTACCCAAGATGAAGTAAAATTAAGAGCTAAAACTCCAACCTTGGTCCTTTAGAAGTTCAGAGATGTTTCCATCATATTAAGACTGGCTTCCCTGGAGAGAAACAATAACAACAACAAAATATTTAAAATCTAACAATGACCTAGGCTGGAGAAAAACAAAGAATTTGCATATGTGAGAGCATCACTTTGAAACAAGATCACTTCTGGAGACACTACAAAGTCCTTTAATCTTCAATGAAATTGACAGAATATGCCAAGAATTTTCCATTTTATTATAAATCCTCTTAGCAGCTATGGCTTCTATTAAATATTTGTTTCAGCAGAAGTTGATTTGGCAGCAGCAACTCTGCAAGTGTGCTTTTGCAAACTACGAGTGGAAGTACGTCTCTTACCGGGTCCTCTGAAGTCTCTTCCGGGATTAAGATATTGGTGCAAAACAACATTTAAATGCTTGAAGTAAGAGAAACACCCATAGGGTCAATACGCAGTACGCTTGGAAGCCAGAGAGAGGATGGTCAGGCCAGGGTAGGGGTCAGCAAACCCCAGCCTGGGAGCTCAATCTGGTTTCCCTCCTGTTTGTACAGCCCCAGAGCTAAGAATGGTTCTTACATTTTTGAATGGTCAAACAAAAAATCAAAAGAAGAATAACATTTCATGGTACATGAAAATTATATGAATTTCAAATTTAGTATTCATAAAAATGGTTGAAAAAAATCAAAGGATAACATTTCATGACACATGAAAATTATATGAAGTTCAAACGTAGTGCCCATAAATGAAGTTTTACTCTAATGCAACATGGCCATTTGTGTACATATCTTTTATGTAGCTTTGGCACCACAAACAGCAGAGTTCAGTAGTTGTGACAGAGAAAGTATGTGGCAGGCAACGCCTACAGTATTTCCTATCTGGCCCTTTACAGGAAACGTTTGCTGACCTCTGGGTTAGGGCTTGGCAAGGAGTGGGGCAGGACCAGTGGGAAAATAGAGGCAAGCAAAGCAATCGATCCGGCCTGAGTTGGTTTTTTCCTCCAGTACAGTACCCTTGATCTACAGTCCCCTGACTGATTTACTTTCATTTTCCTTTTCAGTATGTTATGCAGTGTGTACATTAACAGATGATAAGAGGCATTTTATCACAGGAATGAATCACTCTTTAGAATGAATCTGTCTGCATTCTCAGGCTCTTTCATAATTTGAAAATTGCATTGGGCCTTACGTCTTTTATCCTAAAATATACTCTCGTATGTACCTTTTATTCTTAAAATCAAGGAATTTTGTCTCTTGATCACTGATATTTCTGAAAACTTCCCACCTTTTCCCCTCACTGGTTGGGCCATATTAAACAAGTTACATAAAATCTTAGTTTTCACTTAAATAGCTGTCAGATAGGGGTGATAACACCTAGAGATATGAAAATGAAGTTTTTGTGTTTTTTTTTTTTTTAATGCCTGCTAACAGAAGGCACTCAATGGACTGTCACTGGCAATATTGTTACCCTGTTATTTTATATTATCAATAGCCACAGAAGACAAGCAGGGCAGGTAGTTCACCTCTATCTGGTTGCAAAGCTTTATAACTGTATCCATATGAAATTAAATTCCATATCTGTCTTTGGTTCAGAAAACTTTTGTACCCAGAGTCCTTGGTTTGTAGAAAGAAACCCAAGGGGAACATAAGCCGGCAAAGTCCAAATTGCCATATGGCATTACTATCCTGGGGAAAATCCATGTTAGCATTTTATTTCAGCCAGAAGTAGATTAAGGGGATAAAAATTTCAAAATAAATCACAATCAGTTAATTAAAGTAAGGAAATACTTTTCTTTGTCTTATGCTAGAATGGATTGAAGACAGCTTACAGGTGGCATCACGCCAAGAGGAGGTATTTCCTAGACAAGGGCCTTTCAAACAGGGCTCCCAGGGAGGAGGTGGAGGGCTGCTGAACAGACAGAGCTCTGCCACCTCAACTTCAACCACAGCAGCTCTGCTTTGTTCTGTCACACACACTGAATTTTCCCATGAGGCTTTCTGTGAAGAAAGAGGGTTCCACAGCCGAAACAGTTTAGAGGCAGCCTGCCTAGTCTCATGGCTCCATTCTGCCACTCTGTACCTGTGTGACCTCTGTCAAGTCCCTTAACTGCTCTGTGCCTCAGTTTCCTTAACAGTAAAATGAAAATAATATTAATTCTTAACAACAATAATCAATGTGGGGTTGTTCATGAGTTAATATTTGTCAAGCACTTACAGCAGCACATATAATATATAATAAATTATTTGTACATATTTGTCAAACAAGTACTTAAAATATGAAACCATTATCCACAATTAAGGCTGACAAGCAATCTGAGTGGTTTCCTTTCTTCCAGGAAAGAAGCAGGTTATATTTTAAATAATCTGCAGACTGAACTGGGCTATGAAGGAAAAATTGCTTTGGAGGACTTTAAGACTAGCAAATCCGTGGCACAAATTCCTTATTGCTAATACACTGATTATTTGTCAGTTTCCTCAAACAATGATGCTACCATCTAATGAAGAGTTTACAATCCACAAAGCAATGTACACATATTATTGTGAATTGTAATCCATATGATAAACCACCACACCCCCAGGCACCCAGGAGAATCTACCTGAACCTTGTGCTCTGGTTAATGACATGAGAACAGCAGAAGTTTTATACAATAAACACCAACAAGTGCCTGTGACGGGTTGAACTGTGTCCTCCCTCCAAATTCATGTTAAAGTCCTAACCCCCAGTTCCTCAGAATGGGACCTTATTTAGAAATAAGGTTTTGCAGGTGTAATTAGTTAAGTAAACATGAGGTCAGGTACTGGAGTAGGGGCGATCCCTACTCCAATATGCCTGATATCCTTATGAAAAGGAGCAATGTGATGAGAGACGAGAACACCGAATGCCCTGTGAAAATGAAGGCAGAGATGTAGCGATGCTTCTATATGCCAAGGAACATCAACCATTACTAGAAAACCACTAGCAGGGGAGAGGCACGAAACAGATCTCGCTCACATCCCTGCAGACACCATGATCTTGAACTTCCAGGCTCTAGAACTGAGAGATGATCCATTTCCCTGTTCAAGCCACTCCGTGTGTGGTACTTTGTTAGAGCAACCCTAGAAAAAGATTACAGACACTGTTCATATTGTAGAGACTGTAACAAGGGTGTTTCCTTTCTTTACTTGACCCTTGATTCGTTTATTGAGAGAGTAAATATTTACAGAAAGCCACTGTGTTAGGAACTGTGGTTACAGGGCTGAGCCAAAGACCATAGTTTCATAGGATTTTCAGTACAGAGGGAGAGACAGACATTAAACAAACAGGTAAATATAGAGGGAGTCTAAGGGAGGCTGTGATGAGTGACATGAAGAAAAGTCCATCAGGGGACTGAGGGTAAAAGGAGGTGCTCTTCTAGATGAGCAGTGAGGGAAGCTGATCTGAGGAGTTGGTATTTGAGCAAAAGATGAAGAAATCAAGTGCAAGCCGTGTGGCTCTCTACGATCTAGGAGAAGAGAGTTCCAGGCAAATGGGAAAGCAAGAGCAGAGGCTGGCATGTACCTAGAGCAGTGTTCTGATTTTTGTTGTTGTTGTTTTTTGTTTTTTTTGAAACAGGGTATCACTCTTGTCCAGGTTTGAGTGGAGTGGCGTGATCTCTGCTTACTTCAACCTCCGCTTTCTGGATTCCAGTGATTCTCGTGCCTCAGCTTCCCAAGTAGCTGGGATTACAGAGGTGAACCACTACACCCAGCTAATTTTTTTGTATTTTTAGTAGAGATGGGGTTTCGCCATGTTGGCCAGACTAGTCTTGAATTACTGGCCTCAAGTGATCCACCCACTTTGGACTCCCAAAGTGTTGGGATTACAGGCATGAGTCATGGCACCCGGTCGCTAGAGTAGTGTTCTAAGGAAACCACGGCACACAGCAAAGTCTACCATTTTCTTTTCTTTTAATGTTGCAAGACCTTTTTCTTTTTGACCTAAACTTTTTGAGACTTCCAGTTTGCCTAAGGAGTTGTCTCCTTGGCCACATTAAAACAGGCTTAGCCATTGCTATTATGGATTCCCCAGGATTGAGGCAAAGACAAGAGTGAAGCTGCCAGGTACTGCAAGGTGTAAACAACTGACCCCAGGTCAGCCCAGAGAAGGGGCAACAAAATCTGATTGACCACACAGAGGTATTCTCCACTCACATCTGGGGCCTGCTGATTGAAAAGCACTATGCTGGATGTCTGGCAGGTTTTGCCTAGCTAGTGCTTGAATCTCCTTCCCAGATATGCTGAGGCACCGTCTGTATGAGTCTTGCAGGAAAGGTCTCTTGTTCATGCTCACTCCTTGGAGCTAGGGCATAGGGACAACACCTAGAATCAGCCAAATGAGAGCTCCCGCTGGAAGTGCAACTCAGGGAATGGCCATCTGGCTGGTTGGAGCTGGAGGCAGTGGAAATCCAGTCATTGTTCAGGAAAGGGAAGGGGTCTGTGACACAGAGTGGTGCTTCAAGTGACAGCGAATTCAGTGGCAGTATCCAGTGGTCAGTGGCTAGTGGCTATGTCAGGAGGACCCTAACTCCTCATCCCACAACCTGATTTCACTGGTGTCCTAGTATATGAGATCCTCCCATTTTCCAAACCTAGTTTTTCAACATTCCCATCAATTCCAGTAGCTGCTCTATATCCTCTCAGTAAATTCTTCTTCTACTAAGTCAGCCAGAATCAATTACTCCAGATTGCAATCAAGAGCCCTGCTTGGTTTCAGTACAGTTTCTGAGTTTTCAGGTTTTCGTTTCCTGGTTCTAAGGGATTATTTGTTCATTTTTGATCACTATTTTATAGAGCTTGAATATCAGAAACTGAAAAAGTAAGTTACTACAAAAGTGCCACAAGGATAATTTGGTTATATGAGGGAAAACAGCGAACATATCTCCAAACCTTTGATGAGACTAACTGTGCCCTGAATACTAAATAGCACACCTGTTCTGCAGCTACTTTACACAGCACAATGGTGACATCCAGTGTCAGCTGGCTAAATCTCAGGTGACTGTGCAGTTTACCTGAAAATGACACACAGTATACGAAAGACATGCAT